TTCTTTCTTTTTAAATTAGCAATAACTGCCTTAGACGGATCAAGAGGGGTAGCGCTAGCTTTGTGCTTTCCATATTTTCCATGGTGCTTTATTTACACGGTGCTCTAGGCTGCGCTCTGTGCCATCTGTCAGTTCCAGTGTCTCTTAGCTCTGCGTCACAGGCCTTCGTTACTGGCACTGGAGAGAGATTTCATCTTCCAGAATTACTCCAGTGCCCATTTCAGTTTGGACTGCCAAGAACAAGTCTGGCTCGCATCATTTCAGCACTGCAAAGAATGTCTGCAGATTTCTGAATATTTCTATGTTATAAACTTGAATCCAAATGTCTTCTTGGGTTCTCTTTTAGCTATGTGCCCATAAAAATGAGATTTGTCTCTATTTTTCAGCTATTGAAATCAAGACAGGTAGCAGTACATTAGGGTGCAGGTGGCAAATGTCATCACATGGCAGCATTTTTCTGACTTGTTCTCTGATTTGTGCGTTGTTCACTGATTGAAAGTAAACTGCAAAATGCTTTCCATTAAAATGAAATGCCAAGCAGCATCCAAGAATTCCACTTTCCAGGTAAGTAGCAGTGTTTCCAGATTCCACTAGTTTAGTTTATGTCCTTTAGTGTAAGAATCTCCACATTTGCAGAAGTCTAAGTCCAGCTGGTAGATCCTTTGGCTGAAGGCTCCGTAGCGAAGGTGGTAATGATCTAGATCCTAGTTTATTTTATTACGTAAGTAATAAATCAGCAGTGTGTACGGATAGCATTTGCACAAGGAGTAATTTCAGGATGGCAGCTGCCTTTGGCCTTCAAGTTGGATATCGATGTGGATGTGGGGCTGAGATATTTTGTAGAATGTGTACGTGAGCTCGAAAAAGAGAGTGCAACAGTGAATGACTGGAGAATATTTGTGGCTTTGTAGTGTTCCCCAACCTGAACAGTTCTGTGATTTTATGATTTTTCTGTGTGGATCTTGAAGGTTCAAACTTGCGTTTCTGTGCAGACTAATGTTAGGCCAATTTTCTTGGCATGAACTGTATTGAAACAATTTTAAAAGGCTCTCGAGGAACACCCATGTAACCCAAAAATAGACTAAAATGAAGCTAATGCCCACATTGCTAGTGAACTGCCAGCAGTTTGCTCTCTGTGCAGTCCACTTCAGTTTTCCAGATTTTCCTACATGAGCTGTAAATTACACCTTAGCAGACATGAATGGAGCCATCGCACACAGGACCATTATGTGCTTAATACATTGTGTAGAACTATCCTAATCATTGGGTTTTAGGGCATGCAGAACTGAAAAAAAAAGGTGAGTCATTTTAAAGACATATTAACCAAACAGGAATCATAGGGTAAGATCTGTTGACATTGGCAAAAAAAAAAATTTGAGGAAATCAAAGGCAGAGCTTGGAAAAAAAAATCAAATGCTATCACAACAGATGGGTAATTTATTTCTATTCAGTGCCTTCTTGCTTTTCTTTCATGTCATGCCAAAGGATAAATGTGAGCTTGCATGCAAGTAAACCCTCCTGATGTCTCAGAGGGATTAAATGTGTTCTTACACTCAAATCCTTGCATACGGCTCCTGTACTGCAGTAATGGAGAAAACCTCTCTTAGCTGTTGCAAAACTCGTGTATGGTGAGATACCAGCCAAACATTTCTGAGTACACACGACTGCACTTGGATTTTTCCTCTTTTGCTTTTATATGCATATGCAGAAGAGTTTTCCTGGTTTGTTCTCTGTGCAGTGAAAGTCAGTGCTGACTTAATTGTTACAGACGGTAATGGT